CCATAATTGAAAATTTTAACCATAGATAAAAATATGTTTGTGGCCATGTGTCTCTTAATATATTGCAGAATATGAATAAATTGAAAATTTAAGAGTTATTTTTATTTACAACGCATCAGAAAAAGGAAAATTACGCAGTTTTCTTCCAACTTAATTTCCCCCCCAAAAATCTATCATTTAATATGAAAATTTACATTGAAACTGAAATCCTTGTAAAAATGTCGAAAGGTGAAGCTTTCTAAAATATTGCGCAGGATTTAGTTATAAATTTACAAATTACAATATCAATATATGAAGACAACGTAATGTCGTAAACTAAAATTTCAAGCCTTGAAGAAGTATTCCGTCTGACATTTTAAATAAGCGCAAGAAATGATTTTTTTCTTCCTTATTGAAAAAGTACGAGTGCAATACAGCAGGTAAATATATATAATGTCAAGAATAGATAACCTTATCTCGTCGTCTCGATCGATCAGTGGGGGTAATTCTAACAGAAATAAGCAGAAAAGGTTCTCTAAAATATCTTCATAGGTACAAAAATGCCTCAGCGACGAAGAGTTGGGTGATTGTAATGAAGGCTTTTCCAGTGATGACGATGTACAGAGAAGAGTTCCGATGTAAAGACGAATAATGACACCCATAGAACAACGACCGGGGTCATTATAGTGCTTAATTAATGATAACGTTATTGTTTAAGTTTTTAATTTTAAAGGGGCATATGATTGTGAATTAAACATGTACAAAGAAAATGTTGCTGAGGAGGGTCCAGGAAGCTTCTTCATTCTGGGACTGAGATTGATTGATTGTATGCTGTTTAACGTACGTCTCTCTTTCTCTCGAGAATTTTTCATTCATACGGATACGCCACCATCTGCCGATGTAGATCTACAAATATTGTCCTATACTCGGCACTCAGGTCATTGAGCAGCGAGGGATCTTTTTCGTGCCAGCACCTACTGCGACACGGGACCTCGGTTTTTTTGGTCTCATCCGAATGACCGGTTTCCACGTCCTACATTGTGATTCGAACCCGCAACGTAAGGATGAACACCTTACTTTGCAATTCTAGACGCCCTAACAAATTGCCCTGCGCGGACGACTAATGGGATTTTGAAATAGACTTTTAGATACAAAACGTATTAGCATCATTGTATCGATGTATTTGAATAAAAAAAATTACTTTATGACCATACTGTTTGAATTATCGAAGTAAATACACAAATATCATAAATTCTACATACTAGTGCACAAATTCATATAAATCCGAGAAAAGGCTGAATAGAATTATATTCTAAACATTTTTCAAAATTTTGCACGTACATGAACATTTGTTAATTTTATCAATTAATTTATCTTTTTGAAATGGAGAGGGCATCTTTTATAAGTGATAGTTTGCTTTCATTACGTTTTGCCTTTGGAAACAATTTAGACTAAGCTGCCAAAAATAGGCTTAAATAGTAAAAAAAAAAAAAAAAGAAAGTGTTTTAGGTATCTAAAAGTGCTGATTTATACAAAGGTATTTGTGATTGCAGGTAGAGTTTCCACAATGCATATTTACATTTAAATAAAAAATATTACCAGGTTTGTGATAACATTATTCTTTGCTCGAACATCCTCCAACATTTCTTCTAAATGGGAAGGGTGTATTGAATTCTTGAATACATTTCTGATGTAAAATATATTTATTCATATAGCAAGTTTGTGAATGTTTGAACAAGATCACTTACGTTTTGATTAAATAACCAACGTAATTGATAGACAGATGCATGTTAGAAGCACTCATATATTATGCAATATTGTCATTTTTTATTACGAAAACACGCAGATTTCTTAACCCCTTTTCACATAGTTTTCGGCCGTTGGGCGTTGAAAAAATACATATCTCTCCATGATATTTAACATATCCATCTGTCGTGATATCCTGTGATATTCCTGAATTTTTGCTGAGATTTTGAACGCCTTTAAGTGCAAGGTTTTTTTAAAGAAACTGTTGGATTACAGAGACCTGCGGAACTGACTGCATACAACATACTTTTATACCGAAAATTTTCATTACAAGATAAACGCAATGTCTTGTTCCCAAACGAACTTTCCAATTCAAACCACATTTTCAAGAACTTTGAAATTTCCTTTTAAAAGACGGTTGCGTGCTTTTCCCAGTTTTCTTTTAACATAAACTTATTGCAACCCCTAGGACCGGGCTGCTCTACACATATAACTTTAAGTATTGGTGTATGGGGATAGAGCTGGGAGAAGTTATTCAGAATTAAAGGTTTTCTAAACATTAAATAGATTATTAATCACAATGTTCTTTCCCCTAGTAAATTACGAGATACATAATATAAATACCTCCATGAGTCGGGGCTGTAAAAATATATAGGTTTTTCCTATTTAATATATAAAGCTGCATATCATTTACTATCTACATGTCGCATAAAAACATACTCTACACTGTTTATGTTTTATATTCTTAAAGTGGAATACATTTTTTTAATATCTAGGTGATGCATGTGTCTAGTTTCAATTTATATTTATGAGGCCAACATTTAATTGAAGAATTGATAAAGTTTAAAAGGGTATCCTTTTTTTCGATTTTTAGCTATATACGTATTAGCTATTCGAAGATAACACACGTCTTAAGGCCGGTATACACGGTAAGATTTGTATTATAATACAAAATCATAGTGTGTATCTTAAGGCCAGTATACACGATGAGATTTGTTGTATAATACAAGTATTATAATACTTTTGTATTATAATACTTCCTTGTACACACGCTAATACAAATCTTATAAGATTGTAAATAAACTACGTATTCCAACGTGTTTTCCCCGCCATATTTCTCTCTCTGTCAAAGTAATAAAAATGAAGGATGAAGATCTGATAGCAGTGTCTATCATCGTACTATGCATTGCTTTATATATTCTACAAGTCCCTTTCCCCTTCCCATTAAGCCACGACTTTTTCGATGTCTTTACTTCCAATTTACCATGTGCTTTTTTAGTAATGATAAAAATAAGATGACCCCTAGTGTCATTACATTTCATTGGTTGAAAGTGATAGGCAAGCGAAGACTTGTATTAGAAAATAGAGCATTGCTCTATTCTTAATACAGTTTTGTAAGATTCGAAAAATCTTATGATACACTGCATTAAGAGTGTATACACAGTAAGATTTTGTAGTATAATACAAATCTTACCGTGTATACCGGCCTTTATTGTGTATACACTCTTAATACAGTGTATCATAAGATTTTTTGAATCTTATAAAACTGTATTAAGAATAGAGCAATGCTCTATTTTCTAATTCAAATCTGAACTTACCTTTCACTTTCAACCAATGAAATGTACTGACACTGGGGGTCATCCTATTTTTATCATTACTAAAAAAAAAAGCACATGGTAGATAATAATGACCGACTTTACAAGTAAAGACATCGGAAAACTCCTGGTTTTATGGGAAGGGGAAAAGGACCTGTGGAATATATCAAGCAGTGCATAGTACGATGATAGACACTACTATCAGAAACTCATCCTCCATTCTTATTATTTTGACAAAGAGAGAAATATGGCAGAGAAACGCGTTGGAATACATAGTTTATTTACAATCTTATAAAATATGTATTAGCGTGAGTACAAGAAAAGTATTATAATACAAAAGTATTATAATACATGTATATTATACTACAAATCTTATCGTGTATACCGATCTTTTCATATATTTTGTTAAAAGTGACATAAAGGTCCCATGGGCCGGGTGTTTGGATATTAATTGTATTAAATGTTTTTAATTGTACTGTATAACACATGTCACTATGATAAACAATTTAATTAATTAATTACTTACAGAGAAGCACATATAAGTTTAACTTAATCAATTTATACTGGATATGTTGAAATCAAATTAGAATGCTTAACAGATTGATTGTTAAATTAAACACACTGCTAGTACTGATTTAAGTAGAGGTTACTGTCGCTCAGAAAATCTTGTCCCAAAACCAACTGATGATAACTTCGTTTATAAATATTGGAGCAATTTTGTAGTACTGGTAGATTCCCGACAAGCTGCAGAAAGGTTTCATCACCCTGGCTATGTAGAGGAATGTGTAGAGAGTCGTGGGTAGTGCTGCCAGCTTGGCCAGTATAGAGGGCTCGTTGTGGTCGCCTTTGCAACAATTTCCATTACAGCAACATTCCGTGTAACAGCTTCCTTTTTTGCTGATGATTGAGCAACAACAGCAGGGGAAAAATGTCTTGCAACTAAATTGAAAAGAAAAAGCAATTAAGAGAACGATTGAGATGACAAAAGGGTGTGCTTTAAAAAAAGGTTCAACATTTCAAACCATATATAAAGACATCTCTTCTTTTCTTTTTTCAACATTGAAACAACTATGTACTTACTCAATGCAACAACAGCAACAGGGACAAAGGCATTCCAGCAAACCACTGCAGAACTTTTTGATACAGTTTCCGCAGCGATCACCACACTTCTGACAAGGATTTGTGCAACAGCCTCCGTTTTTCTTGTTACCTGAAGTTACTTTCACATTTGTTATATAGCGCCAAATGCTGCTTACCCAGGCCACTAAACCATTAATTAATCGTTTGATATTTTTGGAGTCCCATTCTACTACACATTCTAAACAAATAAGTTTTTCATATCGAAAAAGTAGAAAATTTTGTGGTATTTCAACAAATGTCGTCACCAAAAAAACTTCAGTTCGTTCATCCAGATGATTAGGAATTTCTTTGGTAGGATCTAAGCGGTGATTCTGAATAATCTGGTAAACGATGTTGACCATCTGAAGAAAGGCGAGGGCAGTACCAGCAATAGTAAAATATAAATATTGATTCGCCACTTCCCCTGAATCGAATTCTTGAGAGTTTGGGCAATCATTTACTGTGATTTTGAGTGTATTTTTAGTGTTTTCGATAGGATCTTCCATGTCAGCATACTGTAGCCAGTCGGATGTGACATTTAGAATAATCAAAATGGCTGAAAATACGCGGCAGACAGTATACCACCATACCTTTCTTGGCTTTGGAGGTTCCTCGGTAATATCTGTTTGCTGCTGGTTACTGTAAACTTGATTTTGTTCATAAGATGGAAATGCGTTATTCCTATTCTCATTAACATGACCTACCATGTAAACCATGCTCTGGGGCGGTAAACCTCGATCTCTGGGAGTCATTTCAATGTTCCCTGGAGGATTATTAAGTACTGCTGATTGAATACCATGTGGATAATATCCAGGCGATATGTAGCTGGTTGGATTATTTTCAGCAGGTTGATGACTACCAGAAAAATATCCTGTGGGCAATAGACTCCGTGGAAAGAAAGCCCCAGAGTCTGTATTTGATGCACTATATATCTCTCCTCTTCTTTCATATTGCCTGTCATCCATTTTTGACCCAGAATCCTCGAATCAAGTTTTCTGTTTGGCTGCAGAAATTTCTTTTTCACTCTTTTGCCCCTTTGCATTCGATCCTCGATGCTCTATCTTGTCTATAGAGACTTTTTTTCCAATATTTAAAGTTTTGTACTCTGGGTTGGCCAACCCTTATTTACCTAAGAGATCTGAATGACAAACCGGTATCGAATTAAATTGCATATGGCCTCATTATGTCATTTGTGTTTAAAATATAGTGGTGGGTAAAAGTAAAAAAAAAAAAAGATAAGATAAAAGTACACTCTTTTATTTAAATTTTAGGTAATTTATTGGTCATTTTTAAAGAAATTGTAGACTGAGATTTATTGAAACTCACTGGGATATTCATGAATATAATCAAAATGATTTTTTTTTTCATTTAAGGACAAATCTGAAATCAGTTAGGGTAGAGTTTTTACACATAGCATAGTAACAACATTTAAAAATGTATAATTCAAATTCATCACCACATTGATTAAACTTAATACATTTGTGCATTCATCAACATTTTTATAGTCTAACATTTATTAAAACGTTAACCCTTCAATCAAGGGCACTTTGTTCCAAGTTTGTTTGAAATTTCTCCAGTGGTTCTTAAGATAAAGTTAAAAATGTGAACAATTTTCAGCTTTCAGCTAAGGTATGCTAAAAAATGAAGTGAATATGACGTTGCCCGCATGTCCACTGCATACAGTAGAATGTCTTATGACAAGTTTTATGTTTTCAACATTATTATAAAAATAACACTATTATGCTGCACCATCCTGAGTTTATCTTTTTCTTCATAAAACGGTTACATGAACGTTAGGCACATTCAAATCCTAAAATCTTTAAATATGGTCACTGGAGAAACATTTCATGAAGATTTCTATATTTTCATCGGGGTCAAATTAAGCTAAAAAACAAAATGATATTTCTTTAATTTGACTTTTCTTTATTATTCTTTATAATTCCTTTTCGACGAATATGAATTTGGGGAAATGAGAGATAAAACTGCGTGTAGTGTCAAGAACAATAGATAAACAATCTTGATTTTGCGTAATATGACTCTTCAACTAAAAGATATCAAGTATGGTGCAAATCAAGCATTGGCTGCGAGACTGTATAGGGAAAAGTAGTAACAAAAACAAGCAGTATTTTATTTTTCATTAAAATGGATCGTCAAGGAGAAGACTTAGAAATGGGTGTGATGAATAGGGGATATTCTCATGACGAAGACCACGATTCCAATGAGAGAGGGCGTGCTTTGAACCAGGAGGAGGAGGAGGAGAGAACACCAAGGAACGTCTGCTGGTATATGTTCACTCGTGTTTTGTCAGCGCTTCTGATAATTGGGAACGTCGTTTTGGATTGGCTTTAATATGCTGACATCGAGGACCCAATCATTGATATCAAGGACAAACTTTCTTATATCATTAACGCACCTGCTTCGTCTGGAGCAACGAGTACCAGTGGTCCATTACCCCAAAACGCATCATACTGCACGGACGACTCGGTAAAAGATGAACTGACTAAAAAGTTCATGTACTTTACTATTGCTGGCTCCGTTCTCTCCGCCTTTCAACTAGCCAAGATAATTTATCAGATAGTTTTAAATCACAAGCGTGACCCAGCAGCGACAATACCAGACAAAATTGATGGCAAAGTCGAGGTCTTCTTCACAACATTGTTTGTGGAGATTCCACAAAACTACCTACTCCTGAAGTACGATAACATCATATGTTTTAACTGTGAGATAGAGTGGAATGGAAAGAAAATTAAGCGCTTTTTAAACGGCCTTAGCTCTGAATTAGCCAGTGTTTGGCGCTATATCACCAGTAGCAAATGTTGCGATGGAAGTGGCGGAGTTGTCAAACGTAAAGTACAACGCAGCAAACGAAGTGATTGCTGTTGCTGTAGTTGCTGTTCTGGTTGCTGTAGACTATGTGGAGCACTTTGCACAAGAATGTTTTGGTCCTGCGTGGAAGTTTGTTTTCCATGTGTCATTCTCTGCCATGGGTGAGTAAAAGTTTATATCCATACGTCAATCTTCTTGAATTTATAATATAAGTATGCTATATATCTTTCAAATTAACAATAATATTTGAATGAAGAGTTGGGTTTTAGTTTGGCCAATGCATCCACATAAAATAATAACAGCCTCAAACCCACTTTAAAAAGGAATAAGAACTTTCGTTTGTCTTTTAAAAAAATGTTTTAGTTGCTTTGAAACTCTCATTAATGTTTTTGTCATAACTTTAAGATAATTTGAAAGGTTTAAAGGCTGATCTGTACTAAACTCTACACCGTCCTTAATTACTCCAAATTATATGTCTTTCTTGAATCTGTTCTAAAATTTAAGAGTGTTCTTGTGGGAAAAAATTTAAAAAAAACAATATCCTGCTTTCTTGGTTATTATTAGCAGAGAAATATGGCTGCAACAAATTAGTACTCATTTTTTTTTTTTTTTTTTTTTTTTTACAAAATTAACAAAATTTATTTTACACTGCATTTATTTAAGTGAATGATTTGAAGGACAGGTATTATCGCAAGCCAGGAGTGTGGTACCCGGTCCTTGTTCTTGAAAATGGAAATGACACACATTCATCCTTTGAAACAATGATCTGAAGCTTTACACAAGAAACCCTTGTCTAATGAAAATAAAATAAAATAAATAAAAACGGACGGAAAGAACACTTTAAGGTAGTACTCAAAAGGGGCACTCCAAAGCTACGACCGTAAGGCGAACATGAAGAGGTAGAGGGCTACACTAAAGCCGTTTATGAATGTGAAGGCTATGACAGCCAGTTAATTAGATATCGACAGAAATGTTAAAAGCAAATCTCTATCTGACCAGTCAGGAACTGAATTTTGACAAGATATAGAAGGAATGGACGAAAGGACTGATCAGTAAAATCAAAAAAATTGCCGCCTACAATACTTTAGCAGCTAGAGAGAGGTGACCTTGCCGCCCAAAACTAGCAAAGTGCTCAGAAAATACTCATCAACAGAATATAATACAGATCGGAGTTGACAACTTTGTTCGAAAAGCGCAAGCAAAGTTCCAAAGAGGAAAAGGAACTATTAACCGAACACCATTCTCTTGAACATCCTTTAGCACACTACCCTGTTCAACATTTTGTGGACTTTGAGATAGCTTGACAGTCTTTGGATCATCATGAAGAAATATGGAATACCTAGAATTCTGATTTAGATGATTAAGGCCCTGAATGAAGACTTTCGGTGTTCTGTGATTGACGACAACGAGAATACAGCCCCTTTCCCTGTGATGACCAGCTTCAAACAAAGCTGCTCTATGTCATTTTTCTTGTTTCTCCTTATAATACTAGATGATGCAACAGACATTCACACAAGAGAGAACGCTTATTCGATGAGACTCTTCCACTCTGTCTGAGGATCTCTGCTTTGCGCATGGAATTGCCCTCCTGCCATCAACAATGAACATCTGAAGTCTACAATGAAAATAAAAAGAAAGAAAACACTTCAAAATTTTGGATGAATCTGAATGCCAAGAAATGCAAATTGCTGCCCATTCTTACAATCGTAAACAGGGGTTTTGTTTAATCCTATATGACTGTTAAATTTCTGAGTTCATAAGACAGAGGAATTGACAGAGAATTGACATGTTTCAAACCAAATGTCTCAGAAGGATTTGCAAGGTTAGCTGGCAATAGCATATCTCAAACAAGCCAGTTTCAAAGAGGTAAGAAGTAGAAAGCATCTGTGGCTAGGTGAGGAGTAGGAGATATAATTGGTATGGCCATATGCTAAAGAAATATCCGACTAATAACTGTGTTATGACCGCCAGAAGGACGTCTGAGGTAGAGGGAAGTGGGGCGGTTGGTAAAGACGGAACAATGCAAGTTGGAGCAGCACGCTTAGCAGCCTGAGAAAGGTCCTAGTGGAGGTACAATGTCCACGCTTTGTGTGTTGTGTGTCCTGTCAGAGGAAGAATCCAGGTAAGGACAGGTTTAGAGAAATGAAATGGGCACAAAACTCTTGGCTTGCGACGACGATGACTAAAAGAAAGTGTAAGAAAAATGGTTCTGTATGAGTCATGAAACAGTTTTAATCCTTAAATACCTTTTTAATATTTTAAAGTTAAACATAACTTTAAAAACGGATCTACCTACTATAGAAACAAATTGCTCCATATAACAGCAAGGGGATTTTATAGAAGACATTGAGAAGAAAATTCTATGTACCACATGTGTTAAACGGCTAATTCACTTTGTCTCAAATCTCAGTTGTACATATATCCGTAGATTTTTGGAAACGAATAAGTTTAAACTTAGTTAAGAAATTTGTAAAATGTGGATAAACACTTTTTTCCGAATTTTGTTCTCGCAAATTAACCAGTTCATTTGTATCCTTTTAGGTATGAGGGATGTCACTATTTGACATGCAGCTGCTTAACGTATAACAGCGGCTTTTTCTGGTGGAATTGTTGTCCATGTGCCTGCTGCTACTCCTGTTGTGAGGGTCCGAAGTGTAAATCGTGTGACAATTGCTGGAAATGTTTCGACAGTTGTTGCAAATGTTGCGATAATTGTTGCACATGTTTCGATAATTGTTGCAAATGTACCGACGTGTCGTGTAGTCAGTGTTTGATTGATTGTCTACTCAGCATCATTCGATTTTTCGGTGGAATATTTACGACATTATATACTGCTATGTATGTTTTACGTGTACTGGAGTATTTCTGTGTGGTTCTCCCGACAGTGTTTGTTGAGGCATTTGTTCACATTATGGATACCGTGTTTGGTTGGATTTTAAACTGACATTATTTTGGCGGTCTTCTTTTTTAAGACAAGGTTCACTTTTGCCTTTTTTTGCCTTCAGAATTTCTGAAAAACTGAAACTGCTTAGTTTTAGATAATTCATGGAATATCATTTAGATATTTGGTGATTGCTTATCTATCAAACATGACGTAATTTTCTGGTTAGTCAATGCATTGTGACGTTGTGAAATGCGTAAATTTCCTCATATTCTGAAAAAGTCTACAAAAAGGCCAATTTTAAAAGCTATTTTTTGATATTTAATATAGAGCGCAAACTTTTATCTAAAATATGCAACTAGTAAACGACAAAACTGATTCTGAGGATTCAAAGACATCTTTTATTATTTAGAATATAGAGTGCGCTCATATTATTTTTCTTTATTGAAAGTACTCAAGTATACTTATTTATCTTAAAATTCAAGAACATTGCAATTTTAAAAAGCCAGTTCTCCAAGACCTGGACTTTTAGGTGAAAATTTTGATAGAACTGAAAGCAGCTAGTCTCTGTTTTATTTTAATGCTTCAAATGGAAAATCAAGTGTTAATCAATCAATTTGTATATCTACATGGCCATTTTATGCATAGCGTAAACAAAGCTCTTTCTGTTTGATTATCCTATACTTGAAACATTTTAAATTAAACTACATGTACTGATTGAAATGATTCATCAATAAATAATTAAAGAATATTGGGAATAAATTTGAAGGTCAGAGAAATATCTCGATTGAATTTCGCGTGAAAAAAGCATATGGTTATTTATTTCAAGAAGACTTGCAGGTGTATTTCGCACACGAAGTTAAATCTATTTTGTGAAGTTTATATAATTTATAGGAAACATAATTTGTCAGTGTAAATGTTGATCATAAAATCTATTTTTCTGAGACGAATAGATCTCTCTAATCCGTCCCGCGTAAAACTATGTCAATAGATTTTCGAATTAGTACGCTAAATTCACAACTATAATTAACTTACTATTTTCAATTTTCGCAAAGGAGGAGAATTCTCCCAAATCAAAAATTTATTTGGTTGGATGTTACTATCTATAAATTAGGTAAGTCAAGCTTTCATTGAACATTTTCTTCTTTAAAATGGTATAATAAAAAATTTCTTTCACAAAAAGGGCGGGGAGAGTGGTAGGTTCCCTGCAACACACTAGCCCCCCTACTCCCACCCAACCCAAAATCCTACATATCTTGAAGTTACGTTCTAATGAGTGGAAGTCAATTGCTCGGGAAAATGAAACTTTCCAAAATCATTATTATCCATTTGGAATTTTTCAATCTATTTTACTCGGATGTGGATCGAGAAACTACATCCTTATATTCACCTTGAACTATTCCATTATAATTAGATATTAATACTCATCCAACGTACTTTTAAAAAGCAGTAATTAGGTTTCTTACATTCTTTTAGAAATATTGATTAAGGTATCAATAAAGGTCAACATGTCCAAAAATTTATTTTTACATTAGCTCCAAAACAATGTGAGGTATAAAGTTAAAACTTTTACAGTTTATAAATATATCATTGTTTAACAGATAGAAAGTATCACTTGAATACAAATATTTTAAAAAATGTATATTTATCGAGAAAAAATACATTTAAAAATTTGCATATTGATAAAAAAAAAATGTGCACCTGCTTAATTATGTACTTTTAGTGAAAACCATCAATGCAAAAATAATATATGTTCATCAATGCAAAAATAATATATGCTTATTAATGAAGGTTGTTAGCCTTGTTGTAGAGCATTCGCTTCGTGACCTGGAGACCTCGGTTCAATTCTCGTTCGCGGTGCCGCATCAAACTTAGGACCTAAACATAGGTAGTGACTGTTCCTTCGCCAAGCGCTCGGCATAAGAAGTAAAATTCACGGGTCTTTCGGATATGACCTTAAAAAAGTAGCTCCCGCGTCCCGGTAGTCGTTTGGACGATAAAGAACCCTCACTGCCCAATGGCCCTGATTGCCCAGTATAGGTCTAAATTTGAAACCCTTCACCGGCATACAATGACGTCTCTATATGAGTAAAACATTCTAGAATGGGACGTAAAACGATATACAATCAATCATTGAAGGGCAAGTTGGACGTGAATGGTCTTTGAAAGGCTCTTATTGAAAGCATGGCATGTATAAAGACAAGACCCCTATAAAATCCACCATTTGCATTATACTCAATAGGGGTCATTCTGACAGAAATAAGCAGTAAAAATTCTCGAAAATATTTTAAAAGTACAAAAATGCCTCAGCGACGAACAAAAAATTTCTCGGGCATAGAGTTGGGTGATTGCAATGAAGGCTTTTCCAGTGATGACAACGTACGGAGAAGAGTTCCGGCGGACAATGAACGAAACTCAAGATCGATCCGCCCAAGAACGGAACCTCCAGATGATAACAATTCTCCGAGAAAAAATGGATCCAGACGTGTATTTTCGGTGGCAAGTAAAATTCTTTCCGCAATTTTGATTATAACGAACGTTGTTCTTGACTGGATGCAATACATGAGCATGGATGATTCTGTTGACAGAAATGCAACGACGAACGCCTTAAAATTTAACGTAAGTTCAGAACCAAATCCCACAAAAGAGTGTATAGACTGATCTGAAAAAGACAAAATGAACAAGAAGTTCATGTATTTTAGCATTGCTGGCTCTTTTTTGGCGTTACTGCAAATTATTAACATTATAATTCAGATTAAAGGGAAATTATCCAAGAAAGATAATAAAAAACGCGGTCTTAATGGAAAAGCAGAAGTTTTTTTCGTCACAATTCTTATCGAAATTCCTCAAAACTACATGCTTCTACGGTACGAGGACATATGTATCAATAACTGTGATACTGAATGGGACCTCAAGAAAATGATGAGATTTGCCAATGGTTTGTCCTCTGTTATAAGCGCCCTTTGGAGATACATAACCAGCATCTCCCTTCCGCGAAGTAAAGATTGGGAAGACTCTTGCTGTTGCTGTGGTTCTCTTGAAAACTATTCTTTGAATTGCGCCAAATTTTGCAAGGGTTGCATCAAAGACTATTTCTTCTGCATTTTCCCGTGGTTGAAATGCCTTTCAGATACAGGGTAAGTAAAAAGATGAATTTTTAGAATTAATACATATAACTCTGCATATTTTTTTCCTGCATATATTTGACCTTTTTAATGCAACCGGTGTATTTATTCCGCTTAACAATCTTTAAATTAAGAAAGTGTAGATTTCTAGTCTTTTTTAATTGTATCATTAAAACAAGATGCCCATGGGTAACAAATGTTAACAACGCTGATCTGAATAACTTTGGTCCTGCTGTTACGCATCAATATTTTCCAGGAAGATTTTCAAAGACTGTTCATGTTATTTTTTAAATGTTAAACTTAAAATGCGTATTGCCCCAACAGGCACTTGTTTCGGGAATAAAATTTTACCCATAGTATAATAATTACACAAGGTATCTAACTCCAAATTACACGGAGTACCCCCCTCCCTTAGATTTACATTTACACTTTCAGAGAAAAGGCAGTGGAAAACTGTTTATACCTATGTCATCTACGATAATTTTTCTACACAACCATATATTGCTTGCTTGTCTTTGTTTTCTTTAATCTCCGTAAACAGCGTCAAAACTCTACTCGCCGAGTGAAAAAGTCGAATTAAACCATAAAACGGTATGTGTTAATCTCGGACAAAGAGAAAAATTAAAGAATGCGTGGGTTTAAAAATTCAATTCCAGATCTTAAATATCGCATTGAATAAATAAAATTTCATTGTGTCTTATTTTCCATAAAAACACTACGATGTTTTTCCGATGTACAGATTTTTAGCCAATCAAATTCGAGGTCTAATTCTTTGCCCGAGACTAGAACATCCCATTCTATGGTTGAGTTTCACTTTCCATTCAGCGAGCAGAGATTTGAAGCTGATTAAGGAGATTAAAAAAAAAACAAAGAAAAGCATGTCAGATATGGTTGTGTAGATAAATTATCGTAGAAGACATAGGTATAAACAGTTTATTCGTGCATTTCCTCTGAAAGTGTAAATGAGCGCGACTTTAAAGGAGTGGGGTACTCGGTGTAAATCGGAGTTAGATACCTTGTGTTATTAATATACTATGGGTCAAAAATTTATTACAGAAACAAGTGCCTGTGATTGCCCTCCCCCCCACCCTTTTTTACACAGGGTCCAGGATCTTAACAATTAAGAATCTTCTCTACTTTATGAAGTCTTTAGCTAAGTTTAAGCTTTTCAGGTCAAATACATGTAATTCTTGAAAAGAAAATTTTAAGGACACTCTATATTGCATCCTAATTTCAGGATAACTTTTATGTAATAAGACTTATTTATTTACATTTAACCCAAAATTAATTAATGATAATCTACATATACTGTTTAACATAATTTAAAATAAATCCACGTATTCTTAACGTTACTGAGTGAGAGGGTAAGTTAGGTCAAGATAGAATTGTTGAAAACTTTATTCTCGTGCATTTTCTCCATATGAGTTAGCTATTTAAATGCATTTTTAAAATCAATATTTCTATAAGGTCTTTCAAAAATATTTTCCAAAGGAATAGTTTCTACTTGTAAGTTTTCAGCTCAGGTGAGCTTAAAAGCTCGTATTTTTGTTGAATCTCCTGCAATGTTGCTTTTTTTAAACATAAGTTTCTATACACCCTGAATTCAGTGTGAGATGTCTATTTGTAAATAAAATGTTCAACAGCCCTCCGCCCACTTATTTCTTAGTTAAATTCAAATTACTTTTTCTTCCATTTTTAAGTCAATGATAAATGTAACTATGTTCGGAACTATTTTCAAGCCTTCGAAATGTTTGATAGTTAATATACATGTATTTCATTACTTGTTGCATTTTTCATTGCCAGCTGCCGGTTAAACATTCCGTGTTGCTGTACAGTTATCTGGAAATGCAGAAAAACATGTAATGGAAAGTCCTCCGACTGTATCAAAATTGAACCTGACTGTTGCTGCATGTGTTGCTGCACGTGTTGCTGTAACCAAGAGAAAGAACCACTAGGTGACATAACATGGAAAG